TTGACGAAATGATTGTGACAGTTTGCCTGGATTCACTGACGCAGGTATAGTTGTACAGTATAGTACTGACACGTCCATACAATTTTTAAGTCAAATTTGGAGCTATAGTAATACCACAAATAGTACACGTAGGTAGCGTGTTACCTACAAAAATACTATATAAAATTGTAGTGCTTGGTGGTTATACTTTTTGCACTATACAACTTGTCTGTTATTCTGCAATAATCTTTATTCGTTGGTCGTCTTGACGACTCAACAAAATACAAGGGTCTAAGCTTCTCCACTATTGTTTTGCATCTGCCCTTCCGCCGACATAACCCAGCTTTTTCGCGATAGAACAAAGTGTATAAGCTCAACGGACCCAGGAGATGGTGCATTCCCTAAAATAAAATTGTCATTTGGTTTCCATGCATCCATAATAGCTTTAGATAAAATAGGTTATCTTCAATAGACCAAGGTTATGTGAAGCCAAGTACCCAGTCCTATTAAAGTGCCAAGGTAGCAATAGGATAGCCTTGCGGAATACCAACCGCTCCAACCTCCTCTACAGGTCCTTCGTCCACGGATCCTGCAAACTCAGGAATGAGCCGCGTTCGAGTTGAGCGAGATTGGGCTTTTCGAGTTGAGTAAGAGATTCTGATGTGAGATCTTCACCTTCATCAATTCCCTTGGCCTGGGTGTACGGCCCCGGAGTCTACGGTCCCGGCGTCTACGGCCCTGGTGTCTACGGCCCCGGTGTGGGCGTGGGCGTGGGCGGTTATGGCGCGCCTGCTGCCCCCGCGGCTTACAACAGCTACCCGAGCACGAACGGCGGCGGTGCCACAGCAAGTGCGTCAGCGACTGCGAACGCCAACCGCGAGCTCCGCTCGCAGGAATGAGTGGGGAGGCTTCGTACATCTACCCAACCCAACCCAACCCAACCCAACCCAACCCAACCCAACCCAACCCAACCCAACCCAACTCACCGAAGCTTGTATTTCCGTGAGCGGTATCAATGTTATCGAGTTTTAGTCTCTGTCTGCGTAGCAACGAAAGAAATACAAGTCTAGCTTCCTCGTACCCTTACTCCCGTCTAGCTTCCTCAGAACCTCACTCTTGTTGTATCTGAAAACGCTCCAGCTACGAAGTGCTACAGGCAGTCTCTCGGCCCGACATGAAGTCGGTACATGTCGATTTTGCCGACCCAGCAGACTTTGCACGACACACAATAAAAAAGAAGCAAAGGAGTCACCTCTGTAAGATGCACGCTTGTGATTCGGTTTTGAAGTATAGTATTCATACATAGTCGTCGTCAAGTCAGTACCTAGTACGTCAAGTAAGTACCTAGTAGTTGATTTCCCGGCCCGATCTAGACGAGCGCGCACTTACCACACGCTGATCGGTGGCATGGACGGCTTCAGTCCACATCGAAGCAAAGTGTTCGGAAACGTGTAGGCTTTTTGGAAGTCGCAACGCAGGATGGTCGGTCTTCAGCGCGGAAACAAAAACATATCTTGTTGACTGACGCAGTCCACGGTGATAGTTGAGCGGCCACTTGGTATGAGCTCAACGAGATGGAGATGTAGTGACCGAAGGTGAACAAACAAAATACCGTTTGCGGTTTATTCGTAGTGTACCATGCTCAAACGCATCGACAA